CCCTGTATGCGGCTCCATTGATAAGATGCCGCCTGTCCTGTCAGAATCTGCCCTAATTTAAGTTTTTCTCATTCATTCTAGTCTTCAATAGTGATGAAACTTTTCACATTGAAATGCAGGTGTACTGTATGAGTGATCAATAAAAAAATGATCAGCATAATAATAACCTCGCCTGACACGGTTCACATCATAAATTTGCCTAGCAGTTAGCCCTGTGAGAGCCGCCTCTCTAGCTGCCTGTAAAATTTCATTGTGAGCAATTCTGGCCAAAATAAAGTTGGCGTCTGGGAAGCAAACATGGTGTTTATTCAACCAAATTTCACCAAAAGTTCTCTCATCTCCTTGCTGGATTACTTTGGCAGTAGCTGTAGCTATAAAAAAGAAGACACACAATGTAAGCCTGGTTGGTTTCGCTAATACTTAGGGAATAGGTTCATAAAGGAGAATCAATGAATGAACATTATAGAAAATCATTGGGGAGAGCAACGGAAAGGAAATTTTTACGGTACGTCAAATTTAGGCTATTACTTGGATTATTTTGGTTAGATTTAAATGGAGTATTCCGCCTGTATTTTTCCGTACTACGTTACGCCACTCTAGCTGCCTGTAAAATTTCATTGCGAGCAATTCTGGCCAAAATGAAGTTGGGGTCTGGGAAGCAAACATGGTGTTTATTCAACCAAATTTCACCAAAAAATCACACGGCAACGCTGCTAATGTTTTTTTTATCTATCTTTGCATAGAAATGTAGTGGATGTCTTTTTAGGTCGCATTCGGAACACACCTGAACCAAAAGATGAAGACAATGAAAGTTGCGTTTTATCACTTGGATTATTCCCTGGAGAGTATCTTGAAGTGCCCGGAGATGACCGTGTTATGTTTAGGTTCGAAGCAGCATGGCCTTGCTCGATGTTCCTCTAGTCTGGCAGGTGATTCAGTGAATTAGCTGACATTTTTCGTTTTCAGCATATTAAAATAATGAATAAAATTCAGTAGAAGTTTCAACGGATTTTCAACGGAGAAGATTTTTCTGGGGGAGGGGGGGGGGTTGGATTATATTCTTTAGGCCTATTGACTAATAAGAACATCTCCTTAGTTTGATGTACATGACCGAGAGAAATACAAGACGTGGAGAGTTCACCGGTACCAAAAAGATGGACACAGTCATACTGCCGTGCTGACATCTGAAGTACTTCAGATGGGAGAACCGAAATTTTTCTGATGTGAAAAATTAATTACTTCAACTTTTTTTTCATTCGGGTCTAGAGAATCCGCACTTAACTTCATTCAGCAGCTACTCGACATTGGGGAGAGCAACGGAAAGGGAATTTTTACGGTACGTCAAATTTAGGCTATTACTTGGATTATTTTGGTTAGGTATAAATGGAGTATTCCGCCTGTATTTTAGCACTACGTTACGCCACCATATACCGCCTCCTCCCTTTCCCCAAAGAGCGACACTTATTTCAAAAATGGCTCCAAATATAACTGTCGTTATGATTCTGAAGGATAAGCTGCAGTGTCCTGGATCCAAGAGGTAGATACCAGTGAGATCGTGTTCCTCTGAGTGATGAAGGCAGTTGAGCGTGATATGTTCTATTGTTAGGAAAATACCTAACAGTTTGTTAGATTCGGGGACGTTCTCTAAGTGGTTGACCGACAGGTTTACCTTGGCGTGTTAACTGTGTTCGGATGTGAGTGTGTCGAGTATTCCGGCTTCGCAAGGGGCTGCAACGCTGGTGTTGGGGTTTGCACATTGCATATGTGACAGGCGTTTGACTTCGTGAGCGAAGCTTAAGTTGTCACCTTCAATGTAAAATATATCCCTATAGTCTTTAGCGATTGATTCCTGGGTTGCATACTCCTCGGTGTTCAGGTGTGAAGCACGTAGGATGGTCATGTCGAATCGGTTTTCGTTTACCTCATACTGGTTGCAATTTGGTAATTTGTCTTGATAATCCTTTGTGAAGCATTCGCTCAGAGGTTGTCCGGGTATAGGTTTCTTTAAAGTGACTATATTAAAACGTGAGTGATTGCAATGAGGTAACAACTGGATTGCAAGTGAAATAGAATATATCTGGGGCTTGTTGGCACTTAAATATAGATACACCTAGTGAGAATACACTCTGTAAGCACAACTAAGGCGCTACGAAGTGAACGGGGAACAGGGCTGCGGATGCCTGAGAGGTCGAGGAAAGACTGAGCGGCGGCTAGAGGATGGTTTGGGTATTTGTAAGCGTGTCTACGTGACTAATCTCACGGTGGCAGAGGGCTACGTGAGATTCGGAACGCAGCAAGTGGGGACTGGATTTGGGGGAAAGAGCTGGGCGCATATGAATGTTTGATAATGAGAGCTAAAATGCGAGGTCAATGTGATAAGGAGGCGAGATGGAAATGTAATGTGAATGAAATGCAAATGACCGCGGCCGGACGGCGACACGCGTCGAGAGTATTTGAGCCGGTAGGCGGCAAGAAAGAAGAGGTAGCGAGGATCGATACCACGCGACCGACACGCTGCTTTCTCTAGCTTGCGCACCATCCAGGGCGGCAGCGCTTTGGAAGGCGCCTTCCCCAGGTACTCCTCCGTAAGGATCTCGATCACCCAAGCTGGGGTCTGGAGCTTGGCGTCGGCGACCTTGATGACGATTGGTGGCCTAGGGGAACCTCGCAAGGACCGACGACACAGCGTGGAGGATGGAGAGGCGATGGGGGAGAGGATTACTGTAGAAGGAGTCACTAGTTTGATAGGGGATCCGTAAACGGGAGGAGTAACGGCAGAGCTGGGTACAGCCTCTTGACGGGAAGCAGGTAGGGTAGGCGAGAGGGACGGCAGGAAAGGAGATGACGAGGGATGCGTCCTGATTGGCTCGGGGATCCGCAGGAGGAGATCCTCCATGTCCAGCGTAACTGGCGTGGGCTGATGGAGAGCCGGTACAGGCCCGTCGACCACTGATTGATCTGGCCTTGCGGCTGAGGCATCTGCCCGGAGCCGTGGATTAATGCACTTAACCGGGATCCGGGAGATCCTCTTAGGACGCTTCAGGAGGCTGACTGACGTGCTCCACCCCTCTCTACCTGGGGCGCACGTCTGAAACCTCGATGGCGGAGGAGCGAACCGTATCGGTGGGGGAGCCCTATAAAGTGCATGTTCTATAAAATCTTCGCTTCTCGAGAGTTCTTACCGAGGGAGGGAGCGGGGAAAGGAATGGGGCGAACGTCCCCTTGCGTACCGACTCGTGGTGCTTGTGCCTGGGGCGGATGGGTGAGGCGGGGTGAGGAGACCTCCGTCCGGGGTGTCTTCCTGCGGCAGCTGGTGGGCGTTGGGTACGTGTGTTCGTCAGGGTGGACGGCGGTGAGGCGCGGGACGAACGCCTGTCGGGGCGTCCGGTCGTCTCTTAAAAGATCGCAGGTAGTCTCTTCCTACTGATTGACATTCTCCCGCTCCAGGCAGTGTTTAAGCTTTGCACTAGAAACCGAGAAAATATGTATTAATCTTTATTAATTGCCAGTCATTTAATTCATTCTCTCTGAAAATACAACATTTCTATAAAGTCGCCAACATTTTGGTCGAACCCCACTATCATTTACCCTCGGGGAGTGTGAATGTCTGATTCACAATTTCTCATTTTACTCCACCTTTTCTTTTAGTAGAACGTCCCTCAGAATGAGGAGACCATCTTTATTTAAATGAATCATATCGTATCCACCATTCTCATAGTAACTCTCATACAGGGACGTATTCGGAAATTCTTTTCCCTCTTTCACAAAAGCGTCCCAAGTTTCGGCCACTAGAATGCACTGCGGATTTAGTGAACCACCTAGCCTTTAGTGCCTTTATCCACTCATTAAATTCCGCGATAACTCTATTTTCTATTATCCTCCCTAGTTAAAGACGGTATGAGGGAGATTTTGGCGAGGATCACTCGATTGAAGTTGTCGGCGGCTAATTCTACGATGTTTCTATAGTTCTTTTTGATTTTTGAAGTTGCCTTATTACTCAGGAAATCGTTAGTCCCTCCGAGAATAATGATATCATCTCCCAGTCGCTGCTCTGGTGAGAGACGAGTGGCCGAAACCTGACCGGCGGGAAGTTCGAACTATGATTTGTCTGGCCTGCTACAATTTTTTCCGTGTCTTCTGCGGGTTCTGCAACATGACAGAGGTTGTCGTAGATTGAATAGTTGTTCATCTGTCGAGGTCGGTATTTCTACTCGCGAGAGGGCGTCTGCGTTTCTGTTTAAGATGCCTTTCTTGTAGACTATTTTATAGTCGTATTCCTCTAGTTTGAGCCTCCAACGCACGAGCTTGCTGTTGGGCTCCTTAAAGCTGAACAGCCATTCCAGCGGCCTGTGGTCGGTGACAATAAATAATTAATTCCCAAATAAGTATGGTCTAAAATCTTTGACTGACCAGACTATTGAAAGTAATTCCTGCCGAAGTGTGCCATAGCGCTGCTCAGCATCGTTGAGGGTTCTTGATTCGCCACTTTGATTTTCCTCGACACCTCACAATCGCTGCCAATTGTATACTGCCACTCAAATCGCACGCAGTGATTCCATCTTTGCCAATTTCTCTAAATGTCTAATTTCTCCTCCTACCTCACTCTCTTCTGCTCTCTTTTGGTCTTACGGGGGTTAAAACCTGCTGCGATACAATCGGAGAGTTTTCTGTAGACTGCCTTTTTTTCTTCTGTCGTCCACCGGGTTTTTTGGGCTTTTTCTTCGAAGTTTTCAGTTTTCTTAACTGTATATTCAGAGGCACACTTAGAGGTACGTTTCACAGGAATATCAAGCGTCAGGAATCTCAGAGTCCGTACCCTCACTTGGAAAATGATTGTCGTCATTGAGAAGACTTTGAGCCTCGCAGACTTCATTCTGAGTCTCGCAGACTTCATCCTGTGTCTCGCAGACTTCATTCTGTCGTTCATTGAACATTCCGTCTTCAGAAACAGAGGCAATGCAAGACGATGAGGCTGTTCTTTCTCTGACAAAACACTCTCCCTCAACAGCAGATAGCAAATACTCACCTATTACTCCCTGAATTTCTTTTCTTCCATTGCAGTACTTCATTCTGTGTATGTCCTTGGCTGTCGTTTTTGACGAAAATAACGTCAACCAAAATTAATTGCGTGAAAATGAATGAGATTTTATTGCGGAAAAAACCGACATGGTGCTCATTCGAGAGAGACTGATGAACAAAGAACTAACATGGCTGGACGTGAGTCTGAATCCACTCATCGAGAAGGTGAAGCTCCCGGTTTTGTGTCTCCAGCTGAAAAATACCTTTCCTCACTGATAAAGGGTGTTTTATTTCATACTGCTTTCTTTCTTCATCTTATTAATTCAATGTTGTTTTATCTCACTTGTGTAGGTATTTTTCAGCCAGAGCACAATCCCAGGGAGTTTCACCTTCTCTCACATGGTTGCAAATTATCAATTATCCTTTTTGTTATTTTTACTCTAAACAACATTGGCGTGCACCAAAGAATCGGCTGGATCTTGTAAACGAGAAAATTTGTTTACTGAACATATTGTGGCGATATTGTGTCTTAGCCCTGTGCTTGTCATTCTTAACTACGAGGGCTATCTTGCCATGAAGGAAAATTGGATGAACAATATTTTTCAGCTTATCACTTCCTCCACTGCCAGATGTTGAGAACTCATTTACTTCGTCAGAGAGAATATCTCTCCTCTCTTCTAATAGATGGTAGATGCCTATTAACTTTCTTCAGTTGGGAATAAATATGTTTTGAATAATTTAGTTTGCATCTTTTTACGTGACGATAAAAAGTTTCTACTTGATATAAACCATTGCAGTGTTGGCAAGGCACCGTGTTCTCAGCGGTCAATTCTTTACAAATTGTTTTATTTTTAGGTTTCAACAGGTTTAATATAGGCTCCCCACAGAGGATGATTTTTTTGAAGCTGTTCTTTATTGTATAGTAAATCTTCACTTCTTCGAAGTGAAATGCGAGTCTTCTGTTTTTCCAGTTCACTTTTAGTAGGATTTATAAAGTTAATGATGTTGTCATTAATGTCCCCCTCTCTCCACTAGTTGCAGAACTAACTTGCTTCACACCCTTTAAGTCAAGTTTAAGTCTCCAGCGGACTAATTTGATATTCGGCTCTTTTAGATTGAATAACTATTCCAAAGGTCGGTGGTCAGTGACTATCAAAAACCTATTGCCGAATAGGTATGGTCGAAAGTGCTTAACTGACCATACTATAGAAAGCAGTTCTTTTTCAATAGTACTGTACCTTTGTTCGGCATCATTAAGTGTTCGAGAGGCACAAGCAATTGGGAGATCTTGGCCTATTTTCCCTTGTGATTGTATGGAACCTATGGCCACGTTACTTGCATCGGTGGTGAGAATAAGGGCTTATTGAAATCTGGATATTGGAGTATTGGGTCATTAGACAGGATTTCTTTACAAGTATTGAAGCAATTAATAAACGCTGGGTCATTTATGTTTATTTGGGCCCCTTTTTTCAAACACACGGTCAATGGTTTAGTAAGCTGGGCGAAAGTGGCAATGAACTTTCTATAATATCTGATTAAACCAAGAAAGCCTTTGATTTTGGAGACTGTATCGGGTATGGGGTAGTTTTTGATTGCGTGAACCTTTTTTGGGTTAGGTTTGACTCCCTCGGTAGTGACGACGTGTCCTAGGTATTCGACTTCTTTACGCAAAAATTCCGATTTGTCCAATTGGATTTTTAGATTGAATTTGCGTAAGCAGTCGAATACTTGTCGTAGGTGTTGTTGATGTTCTTGGAGCGAGGTGCTAAATATGATGATGTCGTCCATATTAACTAAGCAAAACCAGTTTTGTAGGCCACGCAAAATGTGGTCCATGGCTCTTTGGAACGTGGAAGGAGCGTTGATTAGCCCGAATGGCATCCGTACGTACTCGTAATGGCCATTTTCGGTGGAGAAGGCCGTTTTGGCGATGGAGTCAGGGTCCCTTTTCAATTTGGTGAAACCCGGAGGCGAGGTCTAGGGTGGTGAAGTAATTACACCTGCCTATTTTATCCAAAAGGTCTCCTATATTTGGCAGGGGATATTTATCACCTACGGTTTTTGCATTTAGTTTACGGTAGTCAATGACTACTCGCCATTTAGGTTTTCCGGAAGCATCGAGCTTTTTGGGGACTACCCAAAGTGGGGAGCTCCACGGCGAATAGGATGGTCTGATGATGCCCTGGTCTAACATAGATTGGATTTGTTTTTGAATCTCTGCTTTGTGAAGCGTGTGGGGTTGAGCGCGATTTTGAGGGTTTGAGGTAAATCGGTTGTTGGAGGAATTTTGAGCATTGAAATTTTGACGATTTTGGGGGTTTGGACTGTTTGCGGTATTTCTGTTAACAAATGAGCCACCGTTATTGTTTCGGTTGTTGTTGGCAAACGAACCGCCGTTATTATTCCCGTTGTTAAAATTGTTGTTAGGGAAGTTGGGATTCCGCTGACAGGATCCGTTTTGTGGTCCATTCCTATTGTTGTTGGGTCTCACTGCGACAAGTCGGGTTGTGAGTTTAGATATTGGTGTTGTTTGTGTGTTGCCAAAATACGGGGCTCGGTTGCTAGCTTCTTGCTGGAATTCGTTTGTCAGTACGTTGAGAGCGTCGTTTAGCGATACTGGATTTTTTATCTTCATTATTTGGTCGAGGGGTGTCTTTAAACCTCTTAAGAGAGTTTTTAATCCGAGGAGATTTTGGTATGTCTTCAAAGCATCGCAGTGTGCGTGGGGAACTACTTCGTGGGTCTCGATGTCGTGTTGCAAGCAAATATTTTGTTGAATAGGGTGGAGGAATTCAAATGCATTTTCAGAGGGTTGTTGCCTCATTTTTGTGAACTCGTGAGTTAAGGTGAAAGAGTCTCTTTTGTCACTGTGTGCTTCAAATAGGGCCGCCTTTAAGGGGAGTCGGACATCCTATGCTGCGCAATGTTAATTTTGTCAACTTTATGTACCTTTTTCTCAGGTTCTAGTGGATCTTTTTTCAATCAGTTTTTTTGTTGGATGTCTAATGTTCTCAGTCACAATTTAACGAGAGGGTTTTTTAAAATTTTAAAAACTCAATTTTTGACAGTATTTTTTCAAAAAAATGAAAATCATGATCGGAATTTTCGAATTAAAAGTACCTGAAAATTAAAAAAACAAAATTTCGTCAAAAGCTCTCGTTAAAGTGTGCAGGAGATGTCTAGAAATCCAACAAAAAAAACCGTTTGAAAAAAGACCCACTAGAACCTCAAAAAAAGGTACCTAAAGGTCAAAAAACATGATTTTCGGTTGACTGCATTTCAAGTTTAGGTATGAAAAAAAGAACAATTAAATTTGGCTACTGATTCACCTTTCTATTTGTTTCTCTGATAGCACACAATTTCTTCAGTATTCTCCAGCTGCATATGATGGTTTGTCAGGATCCTCTTCTGCTTCGAAAGCCTCCTCTAATTTTCTTTTTGCAGAAGCCTTCCTTTGTCTGCATTTTTTTTCAATCTCCTGCACTGCTTTTTCAGCTTTCGACATTCTTACTTCATCAAAACGTTTCATGGTTGAGACACAATTATATCCAGGATTGATTCCCAATGCTTCTAAAATTCTACACCTGGCAATGTTACCTTCGTTGAACTTGGAAACTGCATCATACACCCCTAACTCTAAAACATTTCTCATCACGAAGACTCGCTTTGGTAAAATTGACCATATAACGGTATTCAGTGACTCATTAGAGTTTTGCGTGTTTCCATGTAGACATTTTTTGAGGAGGGTTGGATCAGCTAAAGCTCTGAAAATGTCTTTCACTTCATCCATAACAACCTTGGGAAGATGAAGATGATCTGCATGCTTATACGGCTCATTTTTAGCAACGGCTTTATTGTATTTGCACCAACAATCTTCATCAGTCGCTTTGGGGCACATGGAATGCGATGGGTTTTTATCAGTTGAAAGGAGGTGAAAAAATGTAGACCAAACAGCAGCTTTCATGTTTTCTAAGTTTGAGCTATTCCTTCTGATTGCTAACCCATAATAAATTTGGATTTTAGCAATCGCGTCTAATGTGAGCCTTCCACGACCACCCATAGTCAAATTATCCGCCAGCTTCTTCTTGCCCCAAGCAGTTTTCAGCTTACGGAGCCTGGTGCCCATCCGCTTTTGGACGTGCCCGACACATTCCTGCTTTACCGGCACGCACTCATCCCCATAGGGTTTCAGCTCTTCAATAGTAGAAAATGCAGATGAGTCACCATCCCCAAGGTAAAATTTATACCGAACGTTGTATAAGGCTTGTGATATTTGATAAAGCTCCATCACGCCATGTGTTTCCATTTTGCCACTTGACCCTTCAAAGTTGGCACAGCATGTGGGAAGGTGCTCTCTTTCAAGACGTTTTGGACACCTACAGTATTTACTGAAAATAGAAATGTCTAGAACTTTACCAGCGCTGATAACAGTTATAACTCCATTCTGTGAACAGTGACCGCGCTTCTGCCAGGTTCCATCAAAAGAACAGGCGAGGTCCCGACTTCCCTCATTTTCTTCCACGGCATCCTCAGCAGCTTGTCTCATTGATTCTTGACAAACTGATTTGGTAGCCTCAGTGAGCACTTTGGTATATCGTTTGAACGACGGTGGACTGCGAAGGTTCAAAATGCCGCATAACATTTTGGCAGATTCCTCTCCTTTACCTATACATCTTATGCCATACACCAACCGCACATTTATATCTGAGTTTTTTGAGGGCAAAGAAACACTATTTTGTTTTCTAACAGAAAATTCACACCTGCCACAGACCACGTTGACCATAGCATTGAGGCCATTTATCTGCGTTGCGAAAACTGAGAGTTGACCGCGACACTTTCTGCACGAGGCAATTTCTCCAAGAAGGGAATTCAATTCCTTGAAACTAATAATATCATACACATCACTATCCTCGTACTTATACTTATCGTAGCTACTTACGTTTTTGTTCAGTTTCCTCTTGGATGAGCTATCCTTGGTAACATCAACATCCCGTCGTTCAGGAGTTTTTGAGCCCGCAGAGTTTGGGACCGGTTTCCCGACGCCTTTACGTTTCTTGAATAGTTTTTTACTGCGAGGCATTATTAGGCATTATTGGGGCACTATCGGGAATTATTACTCGAACAACCAACAAACAATTCAAAAGTAAGCAGGATATTTACAAAACAAGTCGTGTTATCGAGTCCTAACCTTATTGATAACACCACTTGTTTTGTTTGTAAATATCCTGCTACTTCCAACACGAATGGGGCTTGACAAGTGCTGCTCTCTATATGGCTGACAAATGCTGAACTAAAAACAAGTGTAGCAACATAGGAAAAAATATTCAGTGAATGAAAGCCTTATGATGCAATTGATGAGAAAAACCACGCAGTGAATTCTCAGAGACGAAATTATGTTGGCAAGCCGCTCGACCTTCACATCTTCAAAATATCCTCCCGCCTCAACAAATCATCAGAATTGAGTTTTCTTGGTGTTGTTTTACTCGTGAGGATATAGAGAAAACAGATTGCTCAAAAACCCAGTTTACACAATTTTTGAAATTTTCGATGTCCGACTCCCCTTAATTCTTCCCATGTCTCTATTGGGACGTTACTAATTTGAACTTTAGCATCGCCTTGTATTTTTGCCAAAAAACCGGTCAGGAGTATATGGTTTTGGAAATTTTGGGGGTTGGCTCTATCTGCGAAATGGTCCTAAATTCTTCCACATACTTTTATAAATTCAGGCAAGCGTTGTGGGTTGCCATAAAAGGTAGGGATGGTATTTAGATGTATATTTTTGACTTCTGGTAAATTTTGGCCTTGTTGACCCTGCAATGCAGCGGCAGGCGGATTGAACCTTGGAGGTTGAAGTACTCCTTGGTTGTTTGGTTGAGCCATCTTTTGAATGAGGGTTTAATTTTTTTTTTTTTTACAGAACTGTAGAGGTTTCCTTTTGAGATTCGTCTAGACGTTCACTTACTGAAGGGTCTGGGTAGGAAAGTCAGAGGAATCAGGAGTAAAATAAAGAGGATTGTCACTTGTCAGAAAATTAAACACTGTGGAGTATCACAAGAGTACTTATAGGAACAGGATCGTCCTCAGCATTTTCTGTGATGAGCTCGGGGCAGCGGCCCAGGGAGCTGACTATAGTGTTATTTTAGCTCATTGAGGAGGAAAAAGAGAGAAATGATCACGGGTCGAGGTGTAGGCTTGGACTAATCCGCATATCTTTTATTAAGTCTCGCAGTTGGTTACATTGCAATGCTCAGCATCAGCACATTCTTCAGACAGACTGCATATAACTAAGGTTGTCAGGTTTACACATAACAAATTAATTCAACACCCCCTCCTAAACCTGAATGACCTTTCATACAAAAAAAAATTAATAGAATTGGTTACATTTTCTTACAAACTAATTTCTGGAAATATTGTCAATGCAGAATTTTTCTTACACACTAATTTCTAAAAATGTTGTCGATGCAGAACTTATGCTTGTTTTGTCCTAGAGACTTGGTTAGCATGTCGGCTATCATTTTTTCAGTGCTGACGTACTTTAAAACAAATTTATTTTCGGCTATCCAACTCCTTATGCAGTGGTATCTTATATCAATATGCTTACTCCTTTTATGAAACACAGGGTTGTGAGCTAACTTGATTGCTTCCTGATTGTCGCTGTACAAGATTGTGATCTCAAGTGATAGAGGAAGAACCTCTTTACACAGATTTCTCAAGAACACTGCTTCTTTGGAGGCTTCTAAGACAGCCATATACTCTGCCTCAGTTGTCGACAGCGCAACACTGCCTTGCTTACGGCTCTCCCAGCTGATGACTCCACTTCCTATCTTAAACACGTAGCCTGTGTAGGACTTGGACATTTCATCCGTAAAGGATTTTCAGCATTCCTCCTTTCTAATTGGTTAACTACATTTTGAAGACGCGTGAATTCAGCAATGAATTCTTGTTGATTCAAATTTTGAGCCATGACGTTTTCAGGGGGATTATTATCTTCGAGATTTTATTCGTCAGGATTTAACACAAACCTAGCAGGTCTTATAATTTGATTTGGATTTGGATTATGTTCCGCTATGAATCAAAACATGAAGTTAATGATTTGATTCATATCCTTAATCAAAATTCAGCAATAAATTTCGCAAGTTATTTCGGATTTCTCGTAAATGAGGCCAAAAATCACTTCGTTTTATCGTGAATTTCTGACGAATTTTCCCCTTGATAATATGACTTTTAATATCCCGATAATGATTTTCAGTTAGAAATTCTCTGAGAAAATGAATAGTTTCGTCATAAGATAATTCTAACGGATTTACGTCATTAATAAACTCAATTAAATCATGCGTAATTAATGCAGATTTATTCAACCAACACATGAGTTTTAATCTTTATTCATCAGAAGAAATTTAAACATTTTCTGAATAATAACTTATTGCGCGAAATATTTTTGCCGTGACTGTAAAGGTGAATTGAAATTTTCTTCAAGTCTATTCTTGATTTCGTTGCTAATTGGATCGCTATACTCATGTGAGATCAAAAAGTCCCAAATCAAATGAGAAGCGTCCGATATTCCTACGTTCTGAATATCCGTTTGCCTAGCCAAATTAGTTAAATCTTGGACGATAGGACAAATAGGATGCAGATAAGAGAACATGGAAACTTGAACAAATTTCAAAGGCCTAACAGTAAGGAATCACTTTGCAATTTGTCAAGAACACTTTCAAATAATCTTCGGAGGCCTAGCAGTAAGGAATCACTTCGCAAATTTTTGAAAGAGCAAGTAAAATTTTTGTAGCCCCACACTAGGGAATCACTAACAAAAAGAAAAATCTCAAAAAATAAATTTTAGCACAGAAAAATATAGAAATTTCCCTTCAAAAATTAAATGGGGGAATGGTCAGAATATTATCGATCATTACAATTGACTCACAGCAGGTAGGCGATGATCCTCATCTTCGAAGCGGGCAGGTGTGAAAATCAAGATAGTCGGAGTTGGAATCTCGAATCTGGCGTCCGGAGGGTGTGCTGATCAGTCTGTCCCAACGGTGTCCCAGGTATTCGTCCACGGTTGGAATCTCGAATCTGGCGTCCGGAGGGTGTGCTGATCAGTCTGTCCCAACGGTGTCCCAGGTATTCGTCCACGGACCCAATGGATTTCCAGGGGATGCTCGGGGCAGGAACAGATTTGAGCTGGATCTTGGCTTCAGGAAGATGTCTTAGTGGCAAGCAAAACCAGAGGAAAGACCAGACACGATGACGCTTCAAACCAGATTCTATGATGGCAAAATCTCCGTCACGCTTGTAACACTCTATGATAGGTTTAGAGAGTCTAGGAGCACCAAAGTAGGAAAAAGGTTCGATATTGTCAATGTAGACAATGACACGATCTTGAGTGCGACGTACTTCAATCGGCCAATCTTGACGAAATTGTAGATAATGTTCGTAGATAATCGATAATAATTTCTGTTCTTCCTTCTCGTTTGCGTAAATGAAACGACGTTCCGTCTTGGCTGGTACAGGAAGATCGGGTCTATGCTGCTGAAGCAGATGACAATAAGTGTTCACGACATCGTTGTCGATCCACGCACCGAGTAACAACTTCGACAGGGATTTAGTTGACGGTAACTCCATGACGCGTCGTGCGTGCACTGCGAGATCAAGCTCAGCCGCTAGTTCGATGCTGACTGGTCCAGCGGGAGCCGACAAAGTTTGACCGCGGGTCTCTTCAGCGTTCGCCCATCTGCCCTTTGAACCGTGGCGACTCTCGTGATACCGTCCGGACCTGGGTGCAAGGCAGTCACTCTCGCTATCGCCCATTGGAGTGGCGGCGCTGTTTCCTCCTTGAGCAAGACGATATCATTCTCCTTAATCTGCTCGGTGTGCTTTGTCCATTTTTGAAGCTGCTGTAGAGTATTGATGTACTCACGAGACCAGCGGGTCCAGAATCCTTGTGAGATTGCTTGGAGCAGTTGCCACCTCGACAGTCCATTCGTGGGTTCCCGGGTCCAGTCATACTCCGGTAAACTGAGGAGGGGCCCTCCCACAATAAAGTGGGCTGATGTCAGGACCTCTAGGTCTTCAACATCTGACGAGAGGGGGCATAAAGGCCGCGAGTTTAAAATGCCTCGATTTTGATCAACACTGTGCTATATTCCTCGAACGTCAGTTTTTGTTCGCCAATCACTCGTTTCAGATGGTACTTGACGGACTTAAGTCCTGCTTCAAAAATTCCGCCAAAATGTGGAGCAGCGGGGGGGTTAAAGTTCCATGAGAGTTTCTTGGGAGCTAACCCTTGCCTGATCTTTGCGATATTCTCAGGTTGCTCTAAAAACGTATAAACTTCGCCCAGATAGTTATCTGCCCCAACAAAATTTGTTCCATTGTCGCTAAAAATTTCTTCGCAAAGTCCCCTACGAGGCAGAAATCTGTCCAAAGCCGCGACGAAGGCATCGGCGCTGAGGCTGGAAACTAATTCTAGATGAAGCGCTTTTGTGGCCATGCATACAAATAGACAAATGTACGCTTTCACCGAAGATGCATTTCTGCGCGTACCAGTTTTTAGGTAAATAGACCCGCCAAAATCCAAACCGACGCGTAAGAAACACCGTGCTGGTGTTACTCTGCATGCTGGTAGGTTTCCCATTTTCGGTTGAAACGGGGTAGGTGAAACCTTGTAACACGTTACACATTTATGCAAATGGGCTCGTATAGCGCTGCGTGCTGAGAGAATCCAAAATTCTTGAGAAATGAGGCACTATAGTAGCCTCGGCCCAGCATGCATATAGAACGTATGATAATGATGAATCACGATGGTAGTAAAATGAGCCCTTTTGGGCAGAATTGCAGGATGCTTCAATGAAAATTTTAATTGTGAGTTGCCAATTCTACCCCCCACCCTGAGGATTCCCCGCTCATCAGTGAAGGGACTCAGAGGGGCTAGTCTATTACTAGTAAGCTTTCCTGCCTGTAGCTGCCGGATTTCTTCAGAAAATTCCTCTTTTTGGACAATTTTGACTAGTTTATTTGTTGCCAATCTCAGCTCGGCTAACGAGGGCGGTCCAGTGATTTTACTTTCACCTGCGCGCTTACGTTTACAATTTTTTTGGAATCTCAAGCACCATGCTGTCACATTCTGTAATTTTAAGTATGAAGAGTACCTCGTAATAAAGGTTTCCTCGGTCTTAGTAGATGTGAGTACAATGGGACCGGGTCTCATGTCTGGAATTTCCGGCTCTTTAACTGTGAAAATCGGTTTAATATTCCAGTTTTGTTCCTCAAGTTCAAGAAAATGTGGACAGGAACTCCCGTGCCCCGCGCCCGAATTAAATGTATCGATTTTATCGATAATATCGAATGTCTTGGAAAATAGGATAAATGACGTATAAACGGAATTTATCTGCTACAATAATATATTTGGTGCTCGGTGGCACTAACTGACATACAATGAATATGATACGAATACAATAACACTGGGACTGTACCGCTACGGAACGAGGGAGACAGGGCTACGGATCACTACAGGGTCGAGCAAAGACTGAGCGTGGCGTCAAGAGTGGAACGGGTATTTGTAGAAGTGCCTACGTGACCAATCTCACGATAGCAAGGGCTACGTGAGATTCGGAACGTAGCGATGGGCGACGGATTTGGGGAATCGGAGCTGGGCGCATACAAATTATTGATAATGAGGTGAAGAGGCGAGGTCAATGTGATAAAATGCGAAGTTGGGAAATAAAGGTGCAAATGACCGCGGCCGGCCGGCGACGCGAGTCGAGAGCTGGTAGGCAGCGGGAGGCGGTGAGGAGAGGTGAGGAGAGGATCGATAACATCTCCCCCCCTAAGACTGAGGAACCGAGTGGAAACCTACATAAGGGAGCGGATGTAGGGATGCGAGGTTTGGAGGGAGTAAGTTTAATTCTTGATCTTGGGTGGTTTCAGGGTTGTCCGTAGCAGTAGCAGAGTTATTACTAAAGGTTAATAAAGCACGCCGTCTTCGGGAAGCGAAGTAGCATTTTGTGGCGAAATATATTACAACAATAAAAATAAGTAGAAGAATGCAACTGTAGGCCCAAAAGTGTGATTTGTGGCTTTCCAAGAAATCAATTTCCATCTCAGGCGGAGGAATGTCGTTTAGTTCCGGGTCTTCTGACAGTTGGGTGAAGTGGAAGGATGTCTTGAGGTTTGGCGGCGACTCGATCAACAGCATGGGGTTTTGGAAGAATAGTGGCTTGGTTTCCGATGTTAGCGTCCTTGGGATGGTCCTGTTTCGAAAGGTGAGGCTGCATTGTCCTGGGCTCAAGAGATAAATGCCAGACAGGTCGTGTTCCTCTGCGTGGTGAGGGCAGTTTAAGGTGATATGTTCTTGAGTCAGGAATATTCCCAGTAGCTTGTTTGATTCAGGAATGTTTTCGAGGTGGTTGACGGAGATGTCTACTTTGGCATGTTCGCAATGTTCAGAAGATAGTGTCTCGAGAATTCCCGTCTCACATGTGGCAGCAACGCTGGAGTCTGGGTTGGAACATTGCAGGTGTGTTAGGCGTTGGCATGGTCCTTTCAGTGGGATGATTTCATTGTTGTCGATATTTTTGAGGATGTACCTGTGAGGAACTCGCACAGTGATGTATTCTGACAGGTGAAGGGTAGGGATAGGTAGCATGTAATAAAGGGTGAAATCGGCTTTATGATTTATAGGGACGGAAAGGAAGAAAACAATATCGGATGGGGTAATCTTGCAGTGAACGTCTATCAGTTCTTCAAAGAACGGTAAATTTTCTGGTGTTGTTGCGAGGGGTAGTTCTTCTTTGTAAAACCGCTCGATTCTTTTGAGTTCGAAGAGGAGTTCAGATGGTTTAATTATACTGGGGTGGAATGTGTTGACGTGGCAGAAGAGGAGTGCGTTTTCTAGGTCTTCGACGATAGTCAGGAAATTGATGAAGGTAATGCTTAATTGGTTGAATGCATCTCTTAGGAGTAGTTTGTGTTCTGTCGATGAGACGGAGTCGCGCAGTACTCTGTCAATTTCAACTAAACGCGAGGCGAATTCTTGTTCGTTGTGGCGAATCGTCTGGAGATTTGAGTTATACTTGTCGATAATTTTGGTATTGATGCTGTACTCTTGCTTTACTTGGTTTTCGAGTATCGTTTCTCCTTTTTTTAGTTGGTCTAAGATTGTTTCGTATCTTTGGCCGTCAGAGTCATCTAGGTTTCCCGTGACGAGTTTGATTCCGGATCCTAGGACATTAAGAAGACCACGTCGGGAGCGTGTCTTCGTTTTGTTTTTGTGAGTGTGTATGGCTGCTGTGGATGGCTTTGTGAAAGCAAGTTTTTCCTTGATGGTGGCAATAGTAAAGTTGATATTTTTAAGTTGAGGTTCAACCGTTGGCATTGCAGCATGATCTATTGAGACGTTTGAGAGGAAGGCGATGTACTGGCTATTCAGGATGGAGAATTCGTGTGAGAGAATTTCCGTGCTGTAATAGTGAACGAGAGTATGCGTAGTCCGTTGTAGTTTTGCGTCTCCAAGTTCGAGTGGCATGATTCCCGGGTTGCTTGTTATGTTTTTGATTGCATCGGTGTTTATGTCTGTGGCGGTGGACCACTTGAAGGTGTACAGCCATCTGCAACAAGAGGTGCAGATTTTATTAGTTTTGGGCGTCGCAATTGATTTATATGTATTTTTTCTCCCGATTCAATGCTAGCTTGCATGCTGCAATTGCTATATCCGATCTTCCTATTCGGGAGTAGATTTTTGCTATCAATTGTGAAACAAATGGAGCTAGATTTCCAAATGCACATACTATATCCTCGAAATTGCTCAAACTCATATTCAAAGAAATTCAGAGGCACGATTCCGCTTCCTTGAACCTGGAAATGAGTCAGAAGATGTACATGTATTAGTTATCTTAACCGGTAATTGCAGATTACTAAATTGAGCTTACAGTACAAATTTGAGGGTAAGAAAATGCATACCCGATATTGATTTTTTTTTTATCTCGCCAACCAAAGATTTCTGACTAAAGTTGGCCCTTGCTTTACAAAACATGAACGTTAATTTCAAGACAGATTAAACAAATATTATACATCTAATTTTTTTTTCTTTAATTTTTCGATTAACTTGCGACAAGCTTTCTTCGAATTGAAGTTTGACGTAAGTAGATACGGAAAATTCAGCTATTGTTTTCTTCAATTTGATTGCTTGCCTGGCTCAGGTCAGAGAACTTTGAGGGAAGGACAAATTGAAGAATAATACTATTCCTACCCTGATCCAATCTGGGATTATGTCTGATCCCACAAAATCCCAAAAAAACTATTCAAGATATGCGGTTTCAGAATTTACAGTCGGTTCCTTCCAGGTAAAGGCAGTGCATAAGGAGACTTACTTGCCAGGGGCTAGGCAACAATTGGCGAAGAGAAATCGGCATTCCAAACTGCTATTTTCATGATGCCTCAGTAATGTGTAAGCCTGGGATACCTTTCCGGAGTAATACAGGCAAGTCCCTAAATAGTAAAGCGATTCAGCTGAGAGATCTGGGGGAAAAAAGGATACAAAAGGATAAATAGGGATTGTTTCTAATTTCTATCCGCAATTTAGAGCTTCTGTGGGGGAACTTCCTTGCACATTGAAAAATTTATTGGAGGAATCCATGGAAAGAATGCAGTGAGTCACATTTTCGTCAAAATTGAATTACGGGCGGGATTGTGTAGCTAGAAGAGAGGTAATTATACTTTTAATATCGACACTTCTTATCGTAAATCAACGGTACGAATTTCTAAGTTGATAATTGCAGGAAACATCAGAAATCAAGCTTTGAAATACAGGGCACACAGAAAGCTTTCCGTGGACTCCTCGTTTGAAAATAGACATAGATAAATTTCAAAATAAATTTCCTAACACATGTTAGAATTGCGACGACATACGGTGTGCTCTTTACACAAATCAAAGAGTTAATATCTTTAGTTCAAGTCTTTCCGTGGCTTGTTAATTTTTCCTAGTCCAGTTGAGAGCAATAGTTAATCAATTTCAGTTTATTTTTGTTTAGTTTTTCATGCTAACTGTTTTTATTACTCAAGAGTGCGGAGGACCAATTGGTTTTTTCGAGAGTGTCAAACAGAATTTGGCTATAGTTGGCTGTTGATTCCTAACGCAAGAATACAGGCCCCATAAATAGTAGGATAGATAAATAGTAAACAATAAAAGTAAATAAATACCTTCAGCTCTAAGCCACTCACAAAGAAAAATGGCATCATTTAAGTTGTGGGCATTGAGACATTGACGAATGATGGTCCCAAGTGCAGAATTCAGTTCCATTTATCTAACGGGGAGACAGAGAGAGCAAAAAAGATCAATAATAAAGTTAGTTCTTTCTGACAAGGGGGAGCTTCCCAAGTGTAACCGGAATTTTGAGATGAGATTTTGCATGGAGACTCTTTCGATGATTTTAGAGGACACGTGTTTTAGCGATTTTTCGAACGGGGCCCGGAAACCCCCCAAAATTATGTGGGTCGTAAATTTTTGCATTATTGGATAAAATCATGCGTTTAGTGAGCGTCTTGTTAAACTCAATGGCAATGGCTCAATGGCAACCTTAGGCACCTTGAAGTTAAGGAAATGTAGGCACATGCAAATTTACAAAATTTAAGGGTCCAAAGTTTTAAAAAATGACAAGTTAAGTTTTAGGTAACAAGTTTCAGAGTCAAAGTTTTAAAAACTACCTAGGAACGTAACTTCGTAAGTATAAAAAGAACTTAAAATGAGTGACAACGTACCTAGTCAATCAGCCAAGCTGATTCAGTTTTACCTGAGAAGAGAAGTAGGTATCTTAAAGGCACCTATAAAATTGGCTACTTACCTAATCAGTCTTAACAAAAGATCCATTGTTTATTAATCAGTGACTAAGTAGATACTACTTAAGAACTAGAGAGAGAGTCGGAATTTCACAAATGCATTAAGCACACCGGGTAAAACCCTCTTAGTAAAAAATTAATAAACAGGTAACTAGAAAGAAACATAATTAAATACCTTGAGCATTTGAGAAAACGAAATCATTTAAAAGTACGATCAATTAATCTGAAGAAATTAATGGACTAAGTAAAAACGAAAATCTGACAAGTCATCAGAGAAAACAAAGTATTTTCTTGACCCAGTTCCCATTTTTGGGGCTTCTATCTTTTGAACAATCATGTTACCGCTGATGGTGTCATCATCAGTTAGAGAAGGTTTATAAAAGCTCATAGAGGTCTTTGGTCTCTTTTTAAGGTATTCAACGTCATACATCGTTCCGTCATCTGTCTCAGCCGATGACAACATTTTTCC